GGATCCAGGGAGAGCTCAGAGCCCCTGGGAATGTTCCCCTGGAGAGGAGAAGGATCCAGGGAGAGCTCAGAGCCCCTGGCAGGGCCTGGAGAGGGGCTGGGGACAAGGCAGGGAGGGACAGGTGAATCCCCTAATGAAATTTAAGGGAACGCTGCATTCACATGTATCTGCCCAAGGATGTCCATGACATCCAGCTCAGATCAGGCCCCGTATCCCTTCAGATGCCTCCAGAGAGCCACATCCTTTTACTTGTAAATTGGGTTCCAACACACACCAGGTTTTGCCTGCGAGGGTGGGGGGACTCCTAAAGCAAACGTGTGATATTCAATATCCCAGCAGATATTCAATGTCCCAGACACCATACTGGGAATGGCGTGGATTGTGTCTGCTGGGTGACCCCGGCCGCCCTGAGCCCTGTCCCTGTCTCGTTGCAGTCGCTCCCAAGATATTCCGCATCTCCGGCGACATCGTGGTGAACGAGGGCAGCAACGTCACCCTGGTGTGCCTGGCCACGGGGAAGCCAGAGCCCTCCATCTCCTGGAGACACATCTCCCCCTCGGGTGAGTGCCCGGGCACGCGTGTCCGCCCTGTGCCGCCCTCAGCCTGGGCAACCAGCGGCCGCTGCCCTGACTGTTAATGGTGTGAGGTTTCTTTGATAGTTCTTCTGAAAGTTTTAAGGTTCTCATAAAACTCCTTCAGCCTGCTGATAACGGTTATGTATTTGAGAGCCAGAGTTCCCCCACAATTTCGTGTATAAATAGAATAGTTTACGTATTTCTCTGTGGGTGGAGAGAAATGATTGATTGATCTTTGACCAGTGTGGTCGGAGAGGTGGCAATGCCATCCTCCAGTCCACGGTCACCTCTGGAATTCTATAAATACCAGGTGGTTGAATAAAACCGGATCTTTTTCTCTTTTGAACTCACCAAACTTCTGTGTACTCATTTTGTGCCCAATAACAACACAACAGGGTCAGAGCTGGCAGGTGACACCTTGGGAGGCTGCCTGGAGCAGGGGCTGGGCAGAGCTACAGGAATATTTATGAATATTTACAGATGGACTCTGAGTCAGGAGTTTCACACTTTTATAAGTTTTGGTCCATTTATTTGGGTCAACTGTTCAATTCCAGCTCCAGGTGATGCAGCCCCACCCTGCCAGCCTGCTCTCCTCCATTCCCTGCTGTTTGCACTTTTTGGGGCTGAAGCTGTGTGGATATCCTCAGTTCAGTCAGTGAGAAAAAGAGAATGATTTCAGCCAGGCTAAGCCTGGGGAAAAGTCCAGGAGGAATGTAAACAATCGATTATCTCTCTTTCCATTCATATTGTTCATAGAGATGTGATATGTTCTGCCACACTGACCTGAGTCCAGTGCAACGACCAGGTGAAATGGTTTTACTCTAAGACCAATGGAATTCATGTTCACAATGTTCTCTATAAAAGAGAGAGGTGCTTTTGGATAAATGCTCATTTGCCTTCTGAAACTGTACAAGTCGTTTTGCTGTCCCTGGCTCAGCAGCTCCAAAGCTGCCGTGGTGTCCTTGGCTCTGGCCTGGAAAAGGATTGTTCTGTCTGGCTGAGCTGTGGGGAGAGCTGCTGGCACTTGAGTTCAGAGTCACACACCAATGCAGAGTCTGGAAAATAGGGAAGCTCAAACGTCAGGCATCACCGTAACACAGGAATGAGGACAGAGCACCTAAAAATGAATATATGTCCTTACATGTGTTGTAATCCCAGTCGTGGATCAAACAATTCCAGTAAAAACCCAAGCTAGGATGAGATGAGGAGCACAGGGGCTCTCTAGAACTGGGAAACGTGAGAGTTAAACACAGGAAGGGGTCATGCAGTAGGTTCAGTTTACTGTCATCTACTGCTACAGGGTGGGATTTTTGGGGTGTCAGGGTTGGGACTTACACTCCTGGTGGGTCCCTCAGGATATTCCAGGATACTGAACCATTATTCCGTGGTACAGCTTATCAGAACGGTTTTGCTGAATGAATTAAATGATGTGTATGAAAAACTGTGAACAGAAGGGCAAGGGAAGGAATGCTGTTTGGTATTTGCATGTACCCCCGTGGTTCCTCGCAGCACGTTGAGAGGAAAGGTTTTGTGTCGGGGCCACTGGAGCTGCTCCCTGTGAGCAAAGCAGGGCTCTGGGGAGATGCCTGCTCTGGAAATGAGGATTTTGTGCTCCCCAGCTGTGTCCCAGGCAGGACTGGAGCTGCCTCTGCCTTGGGGCTCTGCAGGGAGGGATTGCTCTGCTCCCCCAGCCTGCACAAAATCCCTGTAATTTCAGGCAAGAAGGGCTCCGTGGGCTGCCACAGCCTCTCATCATCCTGAGGAACAGTTGGCTTTACAAAGCAAGATCTGGGAAAAAACCCTCACTTTTGACCTTTAAAACAATGACGATGAAGTGTCCATCAAGGGACTGGAGGAAAAATTCAGTTGTAGCAGAAAATGGATTTTAACTAAATGTCAAATAAAATTTTATTGGAAGCCCTGGCGATACTTTGGATTAATGGCTTAAAGTGTTTGAGTGGCTGCAGAAAGGAGCTGGGGTGATGTTCCTGGAGAGGGAGAAAAGGAGAATTATTGCACTCAGGCAGCAGCAGGGGCTGTGGGGGGAGGCAGAGCATCCTCCTCTGGAGCTCAGGCACCTGGGGACGTGGTCAGGGCTGTCCCCAGGGGCCCAGAGGGACTTTCCGACCCAAATGAATCTGTGGAAATTAATGCAGAGGGGCTTGCAGTGCCCCCCTGGATGTGCTCCTTGCTCCGAGCCCACCTTGGACACTCCCATCCCCAGGGATCTGGGGTTCACAGGCACAGCTGGGTCTGCAGAGGCAGAGCTCAGCCCCCTCCTTGCTCAGGAATGCTGTCAGATGTGGTGGGAGCAAGCCCAGGAGGGGCAGGGGCAGTTCTGT